CTTTCCCTTGGGTTGCCTCTGTCCCTGACTCCCAGAGCCCAGCCAGTGAGGCTGTCTCTGCTCTTCATGGGTGGTCCCATTCCTGGCCCACAGGTCTGCAGCCCTGCTGCCGTCCATGATACCTACATAGGAGACACTCACAGACAGTGGAGGGGAGGGTTCCATTCCATCAGGAAATGTTTACAGTGGACTCACATAGTCAGCGAACATAACGGACATTGATCCCAAACGGTTGCCTGAGTAAGGGTTCTCACAGGGCAGGCCGGCAGCTCTTGTCCCATGTAAAGATGATAACGCAGGATCGGTACCAGGGTAGAGTGGTACTGGGTACTATGCACAGCAGGCCAGATGCGGCCCTTTTTTCTGGATCGGTCCCTGGCAGGAATGAGGAAGAGAGGCTGCCCAAGTGAGACATGAAGTTCTTGGTGGCCTAAGCATAATTCGAATGGTAGTGACACTGGGCTTTTCCTGAGGGACTGGAAGTTTCATCCAGCCCGGCCAGGTATAGTCCCTTTGTGTCTCAGAGAGGGAGGTGGCACTGAGGAAGTGTGGAATAAGTCATTTGAGTTTGCTAGGAGGAAGTTTGATCACACGTTTCCTCCTTTGTCTTTTGTACCAAAAGGTTCCATCGTCACACGAGGTGGACAGTGAAGATGAGGAAAATATTTCTGGGCAAGATGGATTTCCAGACTCACCTCTTTTACCACAGCGTACACAAAAAAAAGGTAAAAAAAAAAGTTTTTCAAAAAATATAAAAACATTTGTGACAATAAAAATTGGTTAATTTGGGGGAACATATAGCCATTGCACCTCCATTCTGTGATTCTGTGGTTACAAGTGGGAATATTCCTGAATTTTATTTTCTCTGAAGATAAGTTACTCCACAATCAATCTAGATGTCCATTTTGTCATCTCTGTCAGCCCTGAGAGGACACATGGGGAAGAGGGCTGTGGCTCAGGCTCTGAAGCTCTCCACACTCTTCCCCTCCACTCCTGGGTGCCTGGTGTTGCAAGGGCAGTTGCACAGTGGTCTCCATGGAATGAACTAGTGAGGTTAGCTGTCTTGTTCACTATGCAATTGGCAGTGCCTGGAGCAGGGCCTGGCCCACAGTAAGCTGTCACTAAAGGCCTGTTGGATGAATGAGTACATGGACATGTTTATAATACAACTCTAACTGTGCATTACCCACTGTCTGGCACAGTAAGAGAATTCAACGCATCATAGCAAAGGTAGGGAATAGTTTTCAGATTCTTGCTCACAGATGTCATCCGCTTTTGCTTCTTTGGTCTCCATAGTGCCCTCCCACTGATGCTTTCTCTTTCTCCTCCACAGCCAAATGTGTCAAAAGACACATCTCCCCACACTCCCTTCCCTGACCTGACAGTGTCTCCTCCACCCACTCCATTTTGGCTCTGCTTCTATTACTCCCCCAGACCAGTGACCTTCATACTGCCCCACACGGTAGATGGTGTTCTGGCTTCACCTTATTTGACTTGTCAGGAGCATTCCACACAGATCATTTTAAGAGATCAAAATAATCTCTCCCCTAGTTTCATGACTTCACGCTTTTCTTGTTTGCTCCTACCTCTCAGGGGGCCCCTTCATTTCCTTTGCAGGCACATCTTCTTCTACCTGCCCATTAAATGTTGGAGTTCTCCAAGGCCCAGGCTAGGCCCTTCTCTCTACTCTTCTAAGTAATCACTCTCTGCCCTCCTGCTTCCAGTACCACTTAATCCATGTTATGTCCATCTTTCTTCTCCCAGCTCATGACCCCATGTAACTCGCTGCCTGCTGTTTATTCTTTCACTCAGCCAGCAGATGTATGTATATAGATGGAGTGCCCACTATGTTTTGTCACCATGGTAGCAGCCAGAGCAATCTTTTCAAAACATGAATCTGGCAGTTTCCTCACCTAAACCTCACATACCCCCCGTACCCTTTTTATTTGCATCTCTTCAGTGGTTTCCCACAGCCACCGAGATCTGCCAGGCCTGTCCCTGCTGACCATTCTCCAGCCACTCTGGTCTTCTTTTATTTCCTTGATTGCATGATATCTCTCCTGCCACTGGGCCTTTGCACATGCTTTTCTCCTCCCTACCATCTAATAACATCTGTTATATATAGACTTGTGTAAAGGGGTGGGGTGTGGCGTTGTATGTATCTTTGACTTTTTATATGTTCAAATATATTTGAAAGGAAACATACCCAACTGAGAACCTCTTGGGAGGGGTAGGGTTCAGAGGACAGTTTTGATTTCTGTATTGTTAGAATTTTTGACAGCATGAACATAGTCATGTAGTGTGACTTTTCTTTCTATAAAAATTTGAGAGCACCTGGCATGGCATCTCGTGTGCAGTAGGATGTCCAATGTAAGAAACCTTTGTTGTTATTTTAATAGTTTATACCACCTTCCTGTAGAGTTTGTATGAATGAGAAGGGTGAAGACTCTGGAAATCTTTCTGAGAAGTGACAAATGAGAAAAGAAAATGAAATATATACGCAGAGCCAAATGAACTGCATATACATTAAATACCAAAGTGAACTTAGGGTGATATAAATTCCGAGTTTAATCTTCATTGGGTTCTTTTTCTGAAAAGCTGATGACTGAGATAAAATAGAGATCATTATTTTCTTTGCAAAAATAGGCTTATTGCCCTTTAAAACCTTTTTATCATAAGTTTTCAAACGTGTTCAAAAGTAGAGAGAATAGCAAAGTGAATTTCCATGTACTCATCACCCACCTCCTACAACTGTCAGCATTTTACCATTTTTCTTCATTTAATCCCCTGCCCCTCCCTAACTTTATTTTGTGAAGAATTTAAGAGGGACATAGAGGATTCCATTAAATATGAAAGCAGTACAGCTGATGTAACATTGTAAGATACCAAATCAAAACTATTGTAAAAGAATTATTTAAAATGTAAATTCTTTCTGTTTGTATTAGTTTAAATATTTAGTCATCAGAAATTTATTCAGCATCTACTATGTGCCAAAACAATGGCGCCACAGGCCCTTCCCCTCACATTCTAGTTGCAGGGAAGGATGTGCAGATGGTGAGCTGCCTGGGTGCTAAGGCAGGCGGTAGAGGCAGGCACGAGAACCAGAAAGCAGTTAATGTCGTCTGCTGGTCGTAGAAGGTGGCAGGGAGAGGAGGTTTCATTAGGCTGGACTTGGAAGAACTGGGTAGGATTTCATCTGGTGCCCCAGTCCAGGCTGCCCCGGGATACTTGATCAAAAGCAGATTGGTTCAAAACAATGGATCAAGATGACTTTTTTGGTCAAGATTAAGCTCCTCGTTGATTAGTTGTTCAAGCATTGGTAATTATAATGAACTGGGAAGCATATATATCATCTTTTATGCATCTTTAAGCATTTTTTGTCTGCCTTTCTGAATTCTATAGGTTTTTTTCTACTTGTTGCTTCTAAAAAATTTGTTTTTAATTTATTTTCAGCCAGTTATTTCTGCCCTGCAAATTAATTGTGGAAAGATAAAAGCAACCAACTTTTAAAAAGTTGAAAGTTCAGCTTTTCACCACAATACAGGGTACAGGCAAACTGGGACACGAGGTCGCCCTGTTCACGGAGTATCTTAATCACGAATTTGTATTCGTAAATTGAAAATGAGTTGCTGGGCAAGATTTGTTTTCATCTATGTCACTGAGGCAGTTTGCCTCCAGGAACAATTACTTTTTTACCAAGTCAGATGTTACTTCCCACCAGGGTAGGCCGAGCCTTTTTGGGGAATGGCGGGTGGAACACGTGGAGAGAACACAGGGCGGGCCTATGTCGGAGATGTGGGAAGGAGCCCTGCATGGGAAGGGCTCAGAGTCACGCTGAGGAGTTTGGCTTGGGATCTGCAGTACTGTGAGCCATTGAAGGTGCTCAGGGATGAGCGGGGTAGACAGAGATGAGCAGCTGGAAGTCGGGCGCCCGGCCTTGCTGCAGGACCAGCTCGCCATGTGACCTTGTAAAGCCTGTCCCCACTCCAGGCCTCATTTAGCTCCTCTGTAGAAGGTAAGTTTCTGTGATTGTATTCTCTCCCGAATTGTCAAATGTCTTCATTTGCTTTAAATTTTTTTTCTCTCTTTTTTTAAATCAGATGGTCAACATTCTTTTCTGAATTTAAAGGTAAGATTCGTTTTTTAAAAATTGATTTTCTCAACAGATAGAATTTCCACCATAATTTTTAAACATCTTTTGTGATTTGTGGGGAAACAAATCTTCCCTTGAGCGTTCTTTCCCATCGAATGTTTCTTTTGAAATACTTTAAAACCATGAATAAACTCATATTTGCCATTTCGTTTTGTTTAAAAATGAAAGTAATATATTGAGAGGTTAGAAATCACAAAATTTGTAGAGTGAATAGACACTAACTAATTTGCAAACATAGAAATAGTTCTAACTTGTTTTTAGTTGTGCCGTGTCATAAGAATTTAAAAATTAAACATTTCTCAGTAGAGTTAATTTATAACCATATCTACTTTTTCAGCATAAGTTAGGAACTTAATATCAGACTGATGTGTAATGAACAAAAGTTCAAAGCCTCTACTTTCCTCTAAGTTTTGTGTTAAAAGCAAGATCTCATACTCTTTTCTTAGCACCTTGAAAACATGCTTTTCTGCAATTTATGGGGTCTTTTTGCATATCCCAAGGAGAAAGGCCCAGTTGGAGTTTGCTTTGTGCATCTCTGCTCACCTCTTGCAGCCATAGCACGTACTTTAGTATGTGAACTGATGGCCTGTTACTCATGAGACCTGCATATAAAGACACAGTGACTGAACTCAGGGGCAGAAAGGCAAGAAGAAAGTTCAAACAGATGATGCTAAGATTATTATTATTTTTTTTTTAAAGTTTCTTAATTCATTATTCTTACTTTTTTTTTTTTCTCCTAGGATGAAAAACCACCATTGCGTGAAAAACCTCCACCATCCCCAGGTATTTGCCTTTTGAATTTCATTATGATTGAAAAGGTTATAGTTTTACAGACTACCTAGTATAATCTCATCTAAAATAAAGATCACTTTTTTTCCTGTAAAGACTACTGCTTTTGTCCTATTACTGAAATTGGGAAAATATAGCAATTGTTGAACTTCTGTCTTTGCCTCAAAAGAGAAGATCTAAACATTCAAACATTGTTTGGTGGATGTATGTCCCTGTGGGATGTTCTTAGGCGTGAGAAGGGTGGGTATATGCAAATAAGGGCTCTGCTCAGGGGCTGGAGACAGAGTATGAGATGCTTTCTGGGATACTCTCCCCTAGACTGTTTGGGGAGCTTCAGTAGCTTTCAAAGTGAATTTTGTAATTTTTGTCTATTGTGTCTGACATCGCTAGTATGAAAATCATATTGAGTATCAACACTTTTAAGTCTACTCTCCATGTAGGATTGACTTAATTTTCTCACATTCTATCTTGGTATTTTTGGTGCTCTATTGTGGGAGATTGCTAGGGCTCTAACTTCTAGCCTACAGGCTCATTCATCATTGTATGTATTCTGCTACTCAGCCCATCCATTGAATGCAGTATCAACAAATATCTTTCTAAAAATATTAAATACATTCATTCCAAAATCTTGTAGTTTTTGTGGCAGCCACTCTCTCTTCTGTTATTTGACTTTGGTGCTTCTCTTGGCTCAGACACTTGATGATTCTTGGTGGTGTTCCCACCTTGGTCCTTGAGAGTCCCTGTTGGTCTGCCTGGGGATGCTCTATCTTTTCACTGCAGGCTGCTCAAGTGGGGAAACCAGCCAGGCTGCCACTTGTACAGGCTATCTCTAGTGGCTGATGCGGACAGGCAGGGTGTGGGGTCAGCCAGGGGGTTGAGGGCCCCTCTTCCTCCCGGGATTCGCCAGCCTGCCTGGGCCTGCCCTGCCTTTCAGACCTCAGGGCCTATATGTAGTTCATGCTGAGGGGCAAGCATCTCTGCTGTCAACTGCCTGGCCCAGAGGGTTTGAGCTCTATCTGGTACTCTAACTGACACTTCATCAATCCTTTCTAGGCCATTTCGAGTTGCCACTACCTGCCAGGGCAATGCACTCCACCTTTTGTAGCTGACCTCTCCTGATCTATTTTAGGCTGTAGCTTCTGTCTTCAATCTAATCTCAACTGTTTTCTTTCCGGAGTTCCTCATGGTTCCCCTCTTGTTCTTGGTGTAGCTGTGGAATTCATTTCTTAGTTTTTGGAGACTGGATATATGTGTATTAGGGGTGAGGGGAGGCAGTCTGGAGCCACCAGTCCCCTCCCTAGCCTTTGCCTGCCCCCTGGGGCATGTGCTGAATCTACTCTCCAGAGCTACCAGCCCTCTTATCCTTGTCTGAAGCCTTGCTTGTTTCCACCTGCATGTGGAGGTGTGCCGTGGCCAGGGAGCCCATTGTGGTTCTCACCTCCTTTGACCTCTCTGAGCATATCTCCCCAAGAAACACCTCTCTGTTTTCCTCCAATCTTTCTTGCTGTTCTTTTGTAATCTCTAGTAGTCACCCTTCTCTGGTGCCTTCAGGTACTGTCCACATGCTGGTGGCTCTTGTCTCTTCAGCTCGGGCTGCCTTCAGAGCTTTGGATCTGTGTCCTAAACTGAGCTTACTTTCCCTTGCTCCACTCATGTTCATTGTCTAGCTGAGTGTCTTCCAAAGCACAGATTCTGGTGCTCATCCTTGATTTACCCCACTCTCGCTGCCCACACCCTGCCAGCCATTGTGCCCTGTCGGGTTTAGCCCTTGAATCTTGCTCTTTCATGTTCCTTTCTCTCTGTCCTCACTTAGTGCTGCCCCTCTGGAGCCCCTCTGTGCCGGGCCTCATTCCAAGTCACTTTCTTTATAGCTGGCCCGAGGGGTCCGTCTGAGAGTAGGGCCTCTCCTTTTTCACACCTCTGCCTAAAAGCTCCTCTGGCTCCTGGTGACCTCCACTCTGCATATTATGACATAGAAGGTCCTCCTCTGGTTTCTGCCCCCCGCCCCACTCCCTCTCTTCCTGTCACCCCCTGTAGTCTTGTCAGACAACTCATTCTTTTCTATACATCTCTTTCCAGGGCCCAGAGAACATAGCATGAGATCTGACATGAAGTAGTTGCTCACATAGTTTTTCAAAGAAAGTTTCATGTAATTTTTATGTAAAATTGTAAATATCAGTTAATATTTTAAAACTTTTTCCCTGAACCTTTTCAGATATAACTGGTAAAACACGTCAACGATGGATAGAAATCACCAAAGAAAAATTTGAGGAATTAAGAGAAGAAAATTTGCATCTGAACAGTACAAACCAAACCCTTACTTTTGAACTTAATCTAGTAAAACAAGCAATGAAAGAACTACAATTAAAACTTAAAAGAACAGAGAAAGAAAATAGAAAGCTGAAAGAGGCTGAGAAAGCATCCTCTGAGGAAGGTGGGGACAGCTACACAGTTCTTTTGTTAAAGGAACAAACAGAACTTATTTTATAATTTATTATTTAATTTAATATTTTAGGTTGGAGTATTT